GATCCGCCCCCTCTGCCCCAATTGGCCCCCATGGGGGCAGGCTGCCGACCCCACCCATGCACGAATTTGTGCACCGGGCCTCTAGTATGACATAATAGCAATAATGTTTATTGAGCACTGACCATGTTTAGACACATTTAATCCTCATGACAGTCCCATGAGGTGGGAGTTTTTATGGGCCTTCAGATGGCAAAACTTCAGGCCACACAGCTGCTAAGGACAGGCCTGGCCACTGGCCCCCAGACACCCCCAGGCACAGACTAGATCCATTTCCCAGACTTCAGTCATTGATGCTACTTCCGGGTTCCATCTGTATTGTTGGCAGAATATTTTTATGAAGAGGTGGATTTCTACAGCTCATCTGCTCTGGGCTTTGTCTTAACAATTTCTGTAAAATCACTAATTGTATGCCTTGGTTTTATTATTTCCAATAAATTAGAATAAATACCTAACTATTAAAATTTTTAATAAGTTTCTCATGCCACCTAAGATCACCTGTCCTGTGTGCCCCTGGCAGTACACTGCCATGTGTTGGAAACCCACTTTTTATGCCTCAGTAATGAAGAGTGGTGTATTAGTTTCCTGTGGCTGCTGTAACAAGTCACCACAAACTGGGTGGCTTAAGGCAATGGGAATTTATTCTCTCTCAGTTCCGGGGGCTGGAAGTCCAAAATCAAGGTCTCAGCAGGGTTGGTTCCTTCTGGAGGCTGTTAGGGAGAATCCAGCCCATGTCTGTCTCCTGATTCCTAGTGTTGCCTGCTGTCCCTGGTGCTCCTCAGCCAGTAGGCACATCACTCCCATCTCAGCCTCTCTTGGCATATCACCTCCCACTGTGCTTCCTCTTGTGTTTTCAGGGCACTTGTCATTGGATTTAGTGCCACCAGGTTAATCCAAGGTGATCTCATTTAAGATACTTAATTAAATCTGCAAAGATCTTTTTTCCATGTAAGGTCACATTCAAAGATTCCGGATGGACATATCTTGCGGGGGAGGGGTACTGTTAAACCCACTACAAGTGGCTGCCATTATTTAGCACCCACTGGGGCTGGCCCCTTGTTGATCATCTCTCCTGACATAGACATCACGAAGCAGGTGCTACTGTCTCCATCTCCATTTTGCAGATAGGGAAGCTGAGGCTCAGAGAGGCAAAGCCGGGGTTCGCACTAGGGACTTCATAACTCCCGGGGACCTGTTTTCAACCCCTGCCCCAGGCTGCCTGCCCTCGGCACCCTCGCCATTTCTGTAGCCCCTCCAGTTCGCCACTTTCCTCTCCACCAGCTCTTTCAGTTGGTTCATCTCCTGTGGCCGGAGAGTGGCCACCATTCTGTCATGAGCACGTTATCTGTACCAGAACGTGCAAACTGCTGGCTCCTGGACCCACAGGAGAGGTTGGCCTTCACAACATATAAATTTTTTAAAAATTGCCTTCTGTTATCTTTGCAAAGATTGGAAGTCTGGCAGCACTGGGCTTGCCTCTCCCATAGCCAAGCTTGCATTGGCCAAGCAGTTCCCCTTCAGGTGGGGTTATGGCGCCCAAGAGTCCCCACAGTCCCCTTTGTTCATTAGACCAGTGGTTCTCAACTAAGGGGAGTTGGCTCCCCTGGGGGGACGTCTTCCAGAATCTGGAGACAGTTTTGGTTGTCGGAACTCTGTAAGGGGAGCACTACTGACATCTAGTGGTTAGAGACCAGGGATGCGGCTAAACATGGTACAGCGATGCCCCTACACTAGGGCCACCGTTGAGAAACCCTGAGTTAGGCTGCTTCCCTGGGCTCTGCAGGCCTGTCAGCAATCCCTAGTTTAGATCCGCAGTTTACAAGCCATGAGTATAGCACTGGACAGTTTAAAAGGCCCCTTTCATACATTATTGGTAAACGAAACTGCCTGAGCAGTGCCTGGTCCACAGCAGTGTTCACATTCTGCAGTGGTGATGGGAGAAAACGGGTGGGTGATCGGCCAGCAGCCAGGCCTTTTGCTGAGCTGGGCCTGGGTCCCTAAGGTATGAGGGCAGCTGTTGTGAAGGGCTGTCACCCCAGCTTGGCCCGAGGACCCAGAGAAGGCTGGCACTCTAGAGTTTATTCCTAGAACACAATGATTTCTTCTTGAAAGTCCTGGGCAATTTGCACTGAGCCACTCATTTGCATTAATCCTCCATCCATCCATCCAATCACCCATCCATCATTCATCTTCCTTCCATCCATTGTTCCATTCATTCACCCACACATACATCAGTCCATCGATTCCTCTGTCCATTATCCATCCATCAATCCATCCATTGATCCGTCATTCATCTTCTATCTATTATCCATCCTCCGTCCATCTCCCCTGCCTCCCCATGTGTGTCTGGACCCTGGATTAGGCTTTGGGAATACAAAGATGATAAGACAGTCCCCACTCTCCAGTAGCCCATGGTGTTACCGGGTTTCAAACACAGAACCCATTTTAACAGTAACGTGGCCTGAGTATGGAGTCGGAAGGGTTCAAGGGTCTGGGAACACAGTGTTTTGTCTGGAGTCACCTGGACAACAAGTGGGGGGAAATGTTCCCTTCTTCATCCTACCTTGAGCATCTTGCACACCCAGCCAGTATATGTTGGGAAATATAGAGTTTGGTTTTATTTCTTAAATAGTTTTTATTGACATACAGTTTACATGTAGGAGGTTGTATATGCCATAAGTGTACATTTGATTAATTTTTATAGATTGAACACACCTGTGCAACTAGCTCCCATTTTAAATAAGAGAACACCACCCGCTCCCTTACGTTCCTTCTAGCAGCTTCCCCCAAACAAGAATAATTAATCTGATTCCTAACAGCATAGTTTGCCTGTTCTTGAACTTTTCATAAATGGCCTTATATGGTATGTTCTTGTTGCATTTGGTGTCTTTTTCTTTAGCATTTGTGTTTGTGAGCTACAGCTGTTGTGTTGTTTTTAGTAGTAAATCATTCGTTCTCCTTGCTACATAGCAGGGGCAGGGGCTGACAGGCGTGTTCTGTAAAGGCTAGATAGTAAATATTTTAGCCCATGAGGTTGTACAGTCTCTGTTGCAACTTTTCAACTCTGTCATCGAAGCATGCCAGTGAACGAGTGTGGCTGTGTTTCAATAAAGCTTTATTTAAAATGGCAGGCAATGGGCTGGATGTGGTCCCTGGACTGCAGTTTGCCAACCCCGGCTACCCAGTATGGTATTCCATTGTAGCACACAGTTTTCAGCAGTCATTTGAAAATGTTTTCTCCCTCATTAGCAGGGGGTTGGGGAAATTTGGCTTTCTCCTGAAAGCTCAGAATTGACTCTCTTTAGGAGAAAGGTGCAGCTGCCCAAGCGTGTTTAGACGCCAGACCTCCAGAGCACCGTGGTGTTGACGGCTGTGTCTTATCTGCTTTCTCTCCTCCCCCAGCCATCCTGAAGGTGGTGTCATCCGTCCTGCAGCTGGGCAATATCGTCTTCAAGAAGGAGAGGAACACGGACCAGGCGTCCATGCCGGACAACACAGGTGGGGCCTCCTCTCCCCAGGAACTGACGGCTCGGGTGCGGGAGGGAGGGTCACACTCAGTCTCTGGACGAGGTGACTTGGGGCCTTCACAAGAGCTCAGCTAAGCTATTTTCACTGACTTCTCTCTTTCTTCACACTTTTCACTGCTGAAGTCCTACGGTGGGAAATGCTTGAACCAGAGTGTGGGAGGAAAGATCAGGGAGGATCCTGAGGGAGCATCAATTCAAACCCCCACACACATGTTCTGTTTAACATACTTTCCAGCATGAACTGTATGCCCGGCACCGAGATAGGGAGGGAAACAAGACAGGGACAGCCGTTTCTTATGGCACCTCTGGTCCTGCTGGGGAGACAGACCTCACCCAAGCTTCCCGGCGAACAGCTGCCAGATAAAATAGAAGATGCCCATTAAACCTGAGTGTCAAATAAACAACAAACACACTTGATATAAGCATGTCCTAGGTAATGTTGGGGGATATACTTCTATATTCTGTATATATTATAATTCTGTAATGTAATTCCAATACAAAAAAAAAAGTGTTTGTTGTTTAGCTGACATTCAAGTTTAACTGGGCATTCTGTATTTTTTTGTGTGAATCTGACAAATAAGCAGCATTTTGTGTTTTGAAAAGACCGCCTGGCTCCTTCATGCTTGTTGGTGGCTGAGCCAAAAGGATAACGTAGGTTCCCAGCTCAGCTCCCACCGTGGCCTCCACACCAGCCGCAGGCTGCATGTTGTGTTGCTTTTGCAAACCCCCGGAGCTTACTCTCCCTGAGACCTGTCAGATGTTTCCTGTGTGTTACACTCCCCAGTATAGCACATTATAGGACTCCGCACTCTGAGACCTTCAGGCAAAGAGAAACCCCAAAGCACCCTTGCAAAGAGATGGGGGATCATCCTAAAACCACTCTATTCTATCACCCACCTTGCATGTGCAAACTATCACGCAACACTAGTCTTCATGTTAACGGGGATTTTTTTTTTTTTAGAAAATGCTTTTAAATACAGAAATAGACATATAACAAGAATCCACGAGCCCACCATCCAGAACTGACGTTTGAGAATATTTTCTAATACGGCTTTGTCTTTAAAATGAAACAGAGCAGCATAGATGTGCAAACACAGTGACATCCCTTGTTCTCCCAGCTGCGTTCTCTCCCCGCGCCTCCTGGCAACCACAATTGTTCCTCACTACACACCCTTCAGCCTCATCTTTATACGTTCGCTCACACGTAGTAGAACGATGTAGAAAGTTGCTTTGTGAGTGTTTTTATTTATATAAATGATATCACACTAAATATATCATTCTTCGACTTGATTTTTTTCTATTCTATATTCACCGTTGTCTAGATCAGGATTTCTCAGAAGTGGCAAGACCTGAAGTGACAACCAAAAAAGTTTCCAGACTTTACCAAATGCCCATCCCCTGGGGGCAAAATCACCCCTAGTTGAGAACCGCTGGGGGGCGGGAAGAGAGAGAGAGAGAGAGAGAGAGAGAGATCATCCTTTAACTGCTGTTTGGTATTCCATCTTATGAAAATACCATGGTATGTTTGTCTGCTCCCATATGAATGGATTTAAGGTGTTTCCAATATTTTGTCACTACAAACAATGCTGAAGGACGTCTCTTGGAAGCATTTATGGAATAGTTGACTATATGTCAGGCCCTTTCCATATCTTACCTCATTTAACCCTGTTACAACCCCACAGAGCACCAAATAGCTGACTCTTTCTACAAGCCAAGAAAAACAAGACTCCAGGAAGTTGAAAGGCTTTTCCATAATCACCTGGCTAGGACGTGGGAAGGGGCGAGGGCTTGAACCTGGAACATCTGGCCTTAAGCCCCCAGTTGGAGCATACCTCCATCCCAGCCTGTCATAGCCTCTGAGCGATACACTGGGGGTGGGGTGACTAATCACAGCAGTTCTTAGGACTTCTTTATGCCGTGTTCACTCCTTATGTGTTACACTCCCCAACGTGGCAAGTTACAGGAATCCATCTCTCCAAAACAACCAAAAAACAACAACCAAAAACACACCAATGTCTATGCAAATATCCATGTGATGTGTTTAGTCCCCAAGCCTTCTCTTTGTGATGCACTTAATATGCTTGTTTTCTCCACCCAGCTGCTCAGAAAGTTTGTCACCTCATGGGAATTAATGTGACGGATTTCACCAGAGCCATCCTCACCCCACGTATAAAAGTCGGGCGTGATGTGGTACAGAAAGCTCAGACAAAAGAACAGGTAAGGATGCGCTTGCTCTTTATTCCTGCAGGATCTCACATCCAGCCAGCCAGCCATCATCCAGCCATGCATTTATCCATATGTTCATCCATCTATTCATCTCTCCACTCATCCATTCATTTATCCATCCATCCATCTATTCATCTACCCACTTATCCACTCATTCATCCCTTCATTTCTCCATCCATGCATTCATCTATCTGTTCACATTGTGTCCATCCATCCATCATTTATCCATCCATTCACCCATCCACCTATCCACTTATCCATCCATTCATTTATCTTTCCATCCATGTTTTCACCCATTTATACGTTATCAATCCATTCATCCATCTTCCTTTCCCTCTGTCCATATCTTCGTCCCTCATCTCTCCAATGCTAGAACATTCAAAGTCCCCCGTCAGGTTTTGAAAACACAACACTGAACAAGAACAGCAGAGTCCCTCACCCATGACCTCATCTTGATCTCTTAGTTGTAGGGACCAGGCCTGACCTAAGAGATTTTTGAAATGCCTGTGTGCCCTTTCTAGAGGCAGGACTGACCACCCCTGCAGGGCCCCTGGATGGAACAGGCGCCCCTCTGTGCCAGGTCCCTCTCACAGGGAGTGTTTACTTATCCCAAGTCATTCCTTAGGTCTGAGCTCACTATCCCTCACTGCTGCTTTCTGCAGAGATGGTGCCGTTTCCTTTTCTGTTTGCTGTTTAAGGACTTACTATAAGTAGGAGAAGAATAAAACTCTGAGCCATCAGCTGGGTTCATGTGAAAACGCAGCCCATGGGCGTAACCGTGTTCCCTCGCTCCCCCCACAGGCAGACTTTGCCATGGAGGCTCTGGCCAAGGCCACGTATGAGCGCCTTTTCCGCTGGATACTCAGCCGTGTGAACAAAGCCCTGGACAAGACCCACCGGCAAGGGGCTTCGTTCCTGGGAATCCTGGACATTGCTGGATTTGAGATCTTTGAGGTACAGTGTGGTGGGATGACAGCAGCCATGGATGTGGCTCTCCGGGGTGAAGCTTCCCCTTGGAGAATGCATCATTTTGGAGAAAGGCAGGCAGATGGCTACTGTAGGGTGGGAGGCTGACCTTGAGGGTGGAAGAGACAGAAATCCAGCAGGGGATGCATTGGTTTGTGAAACTGAGAAGGCCCCCATCAGACAAGCAGGACCTGGTCCCCTGCCATCTCCCACCTGGACCCTGTTCTCACACAGACTCCCTTCCTGGTGGCAAGATCACTGCCACCGCTCTCAACGGCCTCTCGGCAGCCGTGGCAGCTGCAGCCAGTTCCAGCTGTTTACCACTGTCCCAGCCAGTTCTCACCAAAATCTTGGCATTGAGTCTCATGGACTCAGACTCCCCAGGGTTGGGCCACTGGTGACCTTAGAGCCAAGCACTATTTCCAGGGTCTTGCCTTAGTTCATGTGGTGTCGCATGGCTATTGGATCTCACAGCCATGGGTTAGAGGGACATTCTCAATGGGAGGGGAAGGCTGGAGATTGACAGATATTCCCGAACCTATCTACTCCCTCTCCGAGCCTCGGTTTCTACATCTGCAAAATGGGGGGTGATAAAATACCTTACACAGTTATTCTTTCCACAAATCATTGTGCAGATGGAGGAGATACACATCCTGAAAGCAATGTGTATGTAGACCACGTGACAGGAGAGTGGGTCCATTTTGCCAGCCCCCCATGACCTGTAGGCAGCCGTTGTTGGGGCCTAAGCCCTCTCGGGGTGCTGAAATGGCAGCGCGGGCTCTGGTGGAAAGGGTGTCAGGCCCTGGGGCTCTCTTCAGGGCGGAGCTTCTCTTCAGGGCCCCAGCCCCCTGCCTTCATCCATGATGCTCATGGGCCCCCCCCTCGCTGTCCTGTGCTCAGGTGAACTCCTTCGAGCAGCTGTGCATCAACTACACCAACGAGAAGCTGCAGCAGCTCTTCAACCACACCATGTTCATCCTGGAGCAGGAGGAGTACCAGCGCGAGGGCATCGAGTGGAACTTCATCGACTTCGGGCTCGACCTGCAGCCCTGCATCGAGCTCATCGAGCGGCCGGTGAGGGCCCACGTCACACTCGCATGCGCGTGTGACCTCCTGCGGCGGCATGTGGACCCTGCCCGCTCCGCGTGTGCACGCTTCCCCCAGCACTGAGTCCTTGTGGGCTCAGTCACACTTTCCCTTACCCCACATTTTAAAGCAAAGGTATTTTCTTTTTTTATTTCTCTTTTCCTCCCTCCCTTCCCTCCTCTTTCCTTTCCTTTCCTTCCCTCCTCTTCCTTCCCCTCTTTCCCATTCATTTATTTACAAAGTCAGGAGCCTTTGTTTTGTTCACGGATGCATCCCAAGCTCCTAGAACCATGCACGTAGTAGATGCCCAATAGATAATTGTTGAATGACTCTTTACTGAGCACCTACTATGTGCTGGGCCCGTCTTTAGGGGTTAGGGATGTAACCGTGAATGAGATGAACTTGGTCCCTGCCCTCCTGGAGGAGCGGGCAATAGAACCAGACAGACAAAGCAAGTGAACCATCCTGATAAAGCCAGAGTGGAGAATGACTGCACAGAGCAGGGGGAAGCACTTCCCAATTCTGAGTCCAAGAAGTGAAGACCATTCCAGCAGAATGAATGGCATTTGCAAATAAGGCTGTGCTCTTGACACCTTAGTTTAGACTGCCTCCCACAGGGAAGCGCTTTACTAAAAGGAATCCTGAGGTGAATCTATATATATAAAAGGCTAAGTGTCCGTCTGTCTGACCGGTAGCTATGACGTGCACTGACCACCAGGGGGCAGACGCTTAATGCAGGAGCTGCCATGACGCGCACTGGCCATTTAAAAATAAACGGCACCACGGACCTGGCGCCGACAAACCAACACTCAGCTTCCCCCAAGTGGGACACAGGTCCCACCACCACCCCAGAACGACACCCCACCAAATCGCAGCCAACGCTGCCAAGACCTCAGAGCACAAAATGTGGCCCACAGCCCAGCCCAGCCTGGAAATGGTCACCATGGGCACCAGGTAATGATGTCATGTAGCAATGCCCAGCTTCCTCTCCTTAGTGACTAGCCTCCTTGGAGTTTCTTCAGCCCAGGAACCTGACTTGCTTTATAGCCAGGTGCAGACATTTTACACTTTAACCAAATGTTTGTGAAGCTTTTGATCCTCACAAATGTCCTGGTGTAGGTAGATAGGAGACTTGGTAGAATCCTATTTTCTTTTCATTAGC